GGGGGGGGGGGGGATAGTCCCAGTGAAGGGAGTGAGAGGCATCAAGAAAGGGACGGAAAGACAGAGAGACGAAGAAGAAGAAGAAGAATAAGAGAAAGAGGGTTACCTGGTGATGTCGCTGCTCGCCGTCGGCCGAGGTAGGGTGGCAGTGGCTGTCGTTGTTGGTATGGCATCTGACACAGAAGAAGAGGAGAGAGAGAGAGAGAGCGCTAGACACACTCAGAGGAAATGCTACATTCAAAGAAGAAAAATTTTATAAGATCAAAAAAAAGAGGAAGAAAAATTTAAAATTTTTGTGAAAAATTTAAAATTTTATAAGATCAGAAAAAATGTTAAAAATTTGACTTATAATTACAACCATTAAAAAGTTATTAGGACTTATAATAAAATTAATTAATATAATTATTAAATCTATTTTTTAAATTCACGTAATATTACTCCGGTCAAAGAAAGATGATAACAAAATTAGGAGAGGAAGGAGAAACAAACATTGGAGCGACAATTTTGAGACGATCTTAAAATAAATTCGGATAACCTTGTCCCTCGAATATCTCTTTATTTTACCTTAAAATAATTTGAACTATTTTTTATCTTAAAAAATAATTGAACTATTATTTGGATGACAGAGTTGAATTAAATTGAACATTTTAAAAAATATATGATCTTATGGGTTGTGAGTTGCCACTCCCTCTCTCTTTCTCTCTCTCTCGATCTATCGATCCCATTGGACTGAACTCCTGTCCTCGTTCTCACCCGTACCCTCTCTTTGATTGTCTGCTCCAAAAAAATTCCCAAAAAATTCGCAAACTTTTTTGATGTGCTGTGTCATATTCCTCAAGTTATCTCATTCAAGTTTTACTAAGTAAATCCCCAAGATGTGGAGAAGTTTATACAAACAAGCTTATTTGAAGAAATTAAGGCTCTTCTCTGAGTACTATTGGTCTTTCGTACCTTCTTTTAACTTCGTAAAATATCCTCAAAATTCAAACTTTCCTGATAAAACTAGACCATCTGAGAGTCAATCCCAATTTAATTCTTCATTTTCAGAAGTGGGATTTCACTGAATTGGTGAATCATTTCCTCGAACTCACTACATGGGTACATTTAATTTCACAAATTCTGCCGACCCTTCAAGTTTTTTTGGGTCTTTTGGTTATGCAAGTGTTGCTGAGGCCATTGTTTCGACTGCAGCATGGCAAGAGGCGCTAAGGGCGAATGAGTAGTTGCAATTCTATATACCATTGGAAGCCTATTTATCCCGGTCCCCCTTGAGTTTTATTTAATTCACGGGTTAAAGTTGATTTTTTTAAATCAGGTCGAGATAAACTTAAGTGAGATTTTTGATGTACTTTTTTATTTATCAAACGCAGGATAAATGGATCTCACATATTTTTTCCTCCTATCCTACTAGTGTTATTTCCCTTTAAATAGCAATCCAAACACACTCGTAGGGTTTATAGTTTATTGCATAGGGTCGAGAATTTGAATTTTTTTTAGGGGGCCTGTTTCGTGAAAAAATATTTATTGTAATGGTGATATCATATCAACATTATCACATAATACCATCAATCAATAATATGTAGACAAATAACATGGGGTTGGTGGTTCAATAGCTTCTAATGTCTCATTTATGCTTCTTCTTGACTCTCATAAGTTTGATTTGATTTTTGGGGACTTTATGTTGTTTTCATTGTATTTACACCCAAAATAAGTAAAATTAGAGGATTATACGTGGAAGAGATACAATGATCATAAAAGAATCTATGAAAGTCCATAATTGAAAGAGGGATTGGAGTAATAGGACTCTAAAGAATTTCAGGAAGTGAGAAGACATGACATCATGAGCCGTCAATTAAAAACGGTTCAACGCACGTTACGCATCTCGAGGGAAAAGTTGTGATTACAGTTATGACCAGAAAAGATATCTTTGACGATTGCAAGTCATTTTTATAAATAACAAAGGCCAAGCCACAGAAAAAAGATTTGTGATTAAATACAACAAACTCTACATAGAGCTAACCTACTTTATATTTATTTTTACTTCCAAGCAACTTTACTTTTCTTGTAACCCATCACACCGGTGATCTTTTACATATTTCATTTAATGTTAAGTACAGTACTTGTTTCGTCTTCTGAATTAAGTGTTCTTGTTACTTTACATTCCAGTCTTCTTTTTTACATTTTAGTTAATTACGTTGTTAGTTAAAAAATTATTTAAAGTTCTTGAACCCTAAAGTATAGAAAAAAACTCTGAGGTAACCTTACGTCTCGCTTCAAATTGCTTGAACAGTCATGATTTTAGAACTTCACTCCGATTCAGGTTGGTAAGGTTGTACGAGTTTGGATCTTATGTACAATTGGACCTTGACATACCCACAATCCAAAAATTGGCCAAACACATTGACAGTTTTTGTAGTGCAAGGGTAGGCTATAATTCGAATTGGGTTTTAAGAGTGTTTGTGATTTTTCACTGCCTAGGTTTTACTGGTAAGCTCTCCTTGTAGGTTCAAATTGCTATGATAATGTCCACGCAGAAACTTATTACTGACATATTTGTAAATATGTCAATTTTAAAAAACTCAAACTTGATTGTCAGATTACTTGATCCAACGTTTTTATTTTTAAAAAAATTGAATATGGTGCGTTATTGTTGGGCCAGGCTATGATCATACACAATTGAACCATTTGTCAATGAACTTTCAAATAATGCAAAACTTTTACCTATTTTGTGGGGTTGGGGTTGGGATATTGACATTTTTTATAAAAAGGAGTAAATTTACTTTCCCGCAAAATTAAAGTGCGGGGCTATTCGCACCTAAAATATCCATCTCACCCCATTAAAACTTTATATTATATAATTTTTAAATCCACGTCATGTTATATCAACTCCATTAATAATTGAACCTACTCCAATCTATCCCAATTATTTAAATGATAGATGTAGAAAAAATATATTGAGGTGGGAAGATATGAAGATTAGAATTGTTTAAGCATAATATGTATATTAATGGGATGGGTGTATATTAGGATGAGTTGGTTTAATGGAGTCAACAATCGTTGGAAGGGACACCACCAAGCGAGATCGAGACCAGTCCCTTGTATTGGGTCTAAGAGGTGGATTTAGTCGATATTAGATGAGTAGCTTAATAATTTTATAATAAAAAATAGTGAAAATTGGGGTTGAGTCCCCATAGATGGACTTATAATGATTTGAATCTGCAAAGAAAACTTATTTGGTGATAAATTTATTTGTTATCTTACTAATAAGTACTTAAGTTCACTATTTTTTTAAATCCCAAAAATATTATTAACAGTGTTATTTTGTTCAATTATAGAAACCTTACAGACACTGACAGTAGTTTTAAATTAATTTCTTAAATTAGAAGTTATTATCCCTTAATTCACGCATAAATTGAAATTCAAATTTATATTCTCTTCCGTTAGAAGAAGATCATTACTCTAGTATATCAAATCTTTTTCTTTACATATCATTTCTTCTTCCATAGCATTAAAATTAGTAGGGTTTGGAACATCATCAACAACTACCATATTTTCTACAATGTTTTGGTCATTATGAACTTTTATGTCGTTGGTTTTCGGAAAAGAAGGTTGAAAAATTTACTCAATATGTTATTAGTTTGATCTTCAATTTTATTTTTATTTTTTTGATAAATAATCCCTAAATTTTTTCAATGTTTCATGTTACTACGTTTTTTGTTGGTCATGTTAGACCATGTTACTATTTTTTTTCATTTTACTATTTTTTATTGAACATGTTATTATTTTTTCAATGTTACTTTTTTTGGATTTCTGAATAATTGAAGTCATCTTTCTGTAGTTATGAGTTTAAATGCTGCTATTTTTATTTTCAAATTTGTTCAATGTTTCATATTGCTATTTCTTTTTTGTTGATCATATTAATGTTTTTGTTAAGCATATTACTATTGTTATTTTTTTAAATATTAATATTAAATGTTACTATTTTTTTATGTTTAAATATATATAGTCCTAATTTATATATGGATATAGATAGATATGAGAGATAATAAATTTTAATGTTAGTCAAACTTCTAAAATTTAGGAGTTTTAATTTTTAGTTTTATTTCACCTCTAAAGGAAATGGATAGTCTGATAAAATTAACAAAAAATAGACTTCATAACAAATAAATTTTATTGGTGGACTTAGGTCCAAACAAGTCCATATAGGGGGACCGACCTCCAAATTTTCCTAAAACATGTAAGAGTGAAGATGAATACTTAGAACATAAATAATTCGCTCTAAGTCCACTAGAAACAGAGATGAACTGTAAACTAAAGTGCAATATTTTTCGTTTTTATGTATTCAATAAAAGAGAAATCATAATCAATTTTTATTTTTTTCTGTGGTAAAAATTAAAACAAAAAAATGTGTTTAGTTGCAGATTTTATTTTCTATACTGTGTTTAGTTACATATTTTATTTTAGAAAATCTAAAAATCTAAAACACAAAATATGTTTGGTAACCATTTTAATTTCTGTCATATATTTTAGCTTTTTATCAATTTTATGCTATAAACACATCAAAATTCTTGTTCTCAATACACCCATCAACCCATAAAATAAGTTACAAATCAAAATAATAAAAAATCCTTAAAGCCATTAAACATACATTCTTTTTTTTTTTTTTGTAAATAAAACTTGAATTTTTATTGATAGAAAAAATAGAGTATTACAAAGAAAGGGGAAAAAAAATACAAAAACCTCTTAACAATGTGCGGATGCACACCATCAAGTCACAAGAATCAACCATTGGCACAACCAGTAACAAAGCACAGCCAAATGCCACCGACTGGGGTTTTCAATGGAGTATTGGTGAGAATTCTTACCTTGAAATTAGATATTCGAGTCTTAGAGTTCACATTAGGGTTCGCTGGTTGACTGTTATACTAGCTTAGCTAGGCTCGTTCCTAAGAGGAGTAACGGGTGCGATAAGGGGTCTCATGATCCCACCAGTGAGGGCATATTAGGGTGGTTTTTGGGTACCCTTCTTTGCCTCCACTCTTTTTTTATTTAGCCAAAAAAAAAAGTACAGCCAAATGATTGAATTCCTAACAATCATAGTGTCACGGGGTAAAATTTATGCTTCGTGATGACACTGAGATCCTACACCCAGTCTCAGCCAAGCACTCAAAATGCTCACAAAAAACACACACGAATAGATNATTAACAAAAAATAGACTTCATA